ATTTGTTACAGTAAAATACATGCTGCCATTGATCCCCCTCAATATACTTACCCTCACTTCTAACATACTTATCCCATCATTCTTGCCCTTTAGTCCTGGAAGTCCCTTTATGAGTGTCTTTATGAGGTATGAGAAAGAATCAGATAAATGCCACCACCAAGTATCATCCAATGGAAGACAGCCTTAGAAAAATATTACAGTGTCTCCTCATTCACCTTATTCACCAGATCTTGTACCATGTAACTTCTGGCTTTCCCCTAAGAGCAAGATGACCATGACAGGTAAATGTCTTGAATTGATTCACTAAAGCAGTTACAGCAGCACAACTAAAAACATGAAAGAGGACTTCCTGAACTATTTCAGAAATTGGCAAGAATGATAGGTAAGTGTTCAAAGTGAGAGAGAGGATTTTGAAAGGAACTAATGGTTATGTTTTTATTGTCATGATTATTTTTAAACATTCAACATACTTTTCAATCACATCTCTAACATTTGTCTCTTGGTATCCTCATTATTAGCTCTAGCATACCAGCCCTCAACATCAAAATCTGTACCATAGTATTTGCAAATAACCTATAGACATCCTTTACTTTAAGTCATGTTATTTACTTATAACTAATGTCATATAAATGCTATGTAAAGCATTATTACACTGTAATATTTCAGTGCTAATGACAAGAAAAATGTTTGGTATGTCCAATACACATTTTTCAGATATTCTAAATCCAAGGCCGGATAATTTTTGAATGTAAAACATGCATCTAGGGCTTGTGAGATGGCTCAGTGGTCTAAAGCACCTACTTAGAACAAGCTTAGCAAAGCACAGGGACCACGTTTCAATCCCCCAGCACCACATGCCAGCCAGCCCCGCCCCCTGGTGGGCTGAGCTGGCCATACACACACACACACACACACACACACACACACACACACAAATATATATAAATAATTTTTTAAAAAAACATGCATCTATAGAAAACCAACTGTAAAAAAAAACTGTGTAGTACTTTGAAATAAGATACTATATTCACTATTACAAAAATGAATGTGAATGTCACCTGTCATATAATCCAGTGACAGTAGTACAAGCTTATAATTTTAAAGTGAATAAAAATAGAAGCATATTGAAATACACAATTCAGCCAAATAGCTAGGTATATAAATCTGTATTTGGCCCAACCAAAACTCCAATTACCACCATCATTGAAGGAATTAGGAATATAAGGATAACTCTGAGGTTTTATTCAAAAGTATTATTTTTAAACATTTAATAGCAGCTGAAAGTTTGATATTAGTGTATAGGGAAAAATAATTTCTCAGGACTCTCTGCTACTAGACTGTGTATACCTACAGATTCTACATTGTACATCACCAACACTAAAAATACTCAGGTTTGCCAGGGAGATGGCTCAGTGGAATAAGTGCTTCCCTGGCAAGCAAAAGGACCTGAGTTCAATCCCCGGTTCCACCAAAAAAAAAGAAAAAAAAAAAAAAAAAAAACCTCAGGTTCATGCAGTGGAGGTGGAGGTTAGAGGTAGAGCAGCTTGTCTATCATGTGAAAGTCCTGGGCTCAGTCCCCAGTACTGTCTCAGTCCCAGTACATTCTCTCTGGTTCAATGATACATGATACTAATAGCTTATCTGAACATAAAATCTGGGTAACAGTTTTTTTTTAGTTCCATGATTGTCAGAATAAACTTTGATTTAGGATTTATATCTTTACAAATCCTAAAAATTCTTGCCCTTCAACTACTAAACCTCACAGCTTGCAGTAAATTATTTTGATAAATTCTAATTTGAATTTTATTCTATAGAGGTTGCTCTGAGACTTAACTGATCAGAATAAAATTAAATTTTTCACTAACACTCTGTTTACATATCTTTTTCAAGCAATGAAGATAAGTTATGACTATATAACGATTGCCACAATGATGACATATAATAGACAAAAAGTGTGGGACATACAATTGACATAATTTCTCTCTTAAATGTTTGTCATGTTTGTCAGTGATTTGCACAGGACCAGTCGGGCTCATTCATATGTCTGGCCACTAGCTGTGGAACATCTGAGAAAGAATGGTATGGGCTGGACAATTGGGAGGACCTAGTTCTGCTTTGAGATTGCTGTCCTCAACAGGCTAGGCTGGGAATGTTCTCATGAAGGAAAAGGAGGAAGAGAGGAAAAACATTTTAAATGCCTTTCAAGTTTGATATCCCACTTGCCAAGTCACATGGGAAAATTCATCAGCAAAAACAACAGAATTTACTTTAGTAAAACCGTGAATGTGGTAAAAAGGTATGGAGACAAAGTGAACTGAGACCATTAATCTAACACCATATTTCACTTTATATGTGTAATTACTTTAATTCAACAAGAAAAATATGCAGTACTCTATCCCAAGACCCTGAACAGTTTCATACAACTACAGTATCAGTCCTTCAAAGCTAGGATTTCATAATGTGTGTCAGGTATACATATAGTTCCTCTTTAGGCAGAGACTTACTAAACAAAAAACAATCTACCTGTCCCCTGTCCTCAATATCCACATATATCCAGTGGTATGTGATAAACAAGAGGATAATCATAACAAACATATCAGAAATGAGAAAGAATGGGAAACATAGCCACTAATTCTTAACATTTCTTTTCTTTTCTTTTTTTTTTTTTTAACATTTCTGATACTTCACCAAGCCTACCATTCTGGCACTTGGAAAATGTTCAGTTACCCAATTCTGCTCTTTGGAAATAGCTGCAATACACCATTCTCCACAGCTTTTGGTTACACTGTCTGAAATGTCCTTTTTCCATCACCCTCCTTCATTATTTCTGAAGAAATGACTAGTTAGCTATTAACTGCCTGAGGTTGCTTCCTATGGAAAGAAAGTGAGGGACCTATAGACTTTTTTTTTCTTGAGACAATGTCACTCCATACAGTTTATTTTTTTATTTTTATTTTTATTTAGGACAAGGTGTACAGGATGTAAAGGGTCTCACTGCATAGATTGGACTCAATAGTAATCCTCCTGTTTATAGCCTCCCAAATGCTGGGATTACTGGCGTGCGCTATCATGCCCGCTCTGAGTTGCCATCTCAGCATGTCCCAGGGTCCGGGCTGTCATGGAAGTCCAGGTGATCAAACTCCTGGCCCCTGCATCTGCCTAAGCAGGCACTTTAGCTAATCCACTGAGCTTTTTGGCCGGCCCTTCCATACAGTTTAGACTGGCCTTGAACTTACTATGTAGCCCAGGCTGGTTTTGAACTCACTGTAATCTCCCTGCCTCAGCCTCACAAGGGCTAGGATTACAAATGTGTACCAAAACATCTCACAGGTATTTTTAGAAAATTGAGCTTTTAGTTCTGGCACTTGATGTTCATGCCATGCAGCTTTCTTTAAACCTTTAAGCTTTCTTTTTCTGATTATGATTGAATCTATACACGAAAACTATACTCACAAGTACTGTGACTTCACTAAGACTGTTAGTGTTCCTTTTGCATCAGGATTCTGTCCAAATACACCCTTAAACTTTGTCCATTTGAAATTACTTAGCCCCAAGTCAACCCAGAGAGCTTAACAAAGCAACTGATAGAGCCAGCCTTGATCTGATGTTTGACCTTTGGTCAACCTTTGAGATTTACGCAAGTTGGAGAAACTGACAAAAGACAGTTTTATTTTCTTGACTTCTCTGTATTTCTTATAGCTTCTACTTACAAATTAGTGGACCTAAACCAACAGAAACAGCCCTCCCCCCACCACACACACCATTTTAGAAGCCACACTGAGCCCTGGATAACTTCAGGGAGAACATCCCCAAAAGTCACAAAAGTGAAAGTAAGCCATGAGGAACTTTGGAATCTTCAAAAATATCAAAACAAAGGAGCAAAAGGCAATCTCAGACCTCCAGCCTACCCAGAACAATTCCAAGAGACATGAACATAGAACAACATGGAAGTCACATACCTGAAATTTCTGAAATGATAGCAACTGAAATAAAGAAACAATTCCACCAGGACATAGAAGAAATCAGATGAGAAATGATCTCGTAGGTAAAAAAAGAAATGACAACAATCATGAAAAAATTGCTCAGCACATCTAAGGAAGATAAAGATTTTAAAAAACAGAAGAGAATAGAAAAATGATAGAAACACTGAACAATATATGAAAGAATTAGAATGCATGGAACAGATTCAAACAGATATCTAAGATATTAAAAGTTGAAAGCTTACAAAATTGCTTGAGTAAAACTGAAATAGACTTTCATACCTTGAAGACACCATTACAGTTGGCAATCACAAAAAGACCTCTTAAAAATATCAAGGAACCAGGAAATAACAATTCAACAGCTGCAAGATGCTGCAAAGAAAAACAACGTAAGACTGATAGTTGTCAGCAAAACAGCATGAGTCAACACAAATAACGGAAAAAGACTATTTGCAGACCAAAAGACCCAACCGTAAAAAAAGAACAAGAGAAGCAGAAGACCCAATACTATTATGGACTATTGGACTCTTTTAGAATATTTTGCTGAGTTAACACACCTATAATATTCAAATGACGGAACTAAACAAAAAAAGGAGATACAGATGAATGTTCATTTTGTATCTGTGTATTCAAAATGGTTAGGATATTAGTTACCTTCTCTTAGTGAATAGAGGGATTTGTTCTAATAGTGTTTGTAAATAGGATATCATGTCTGCATCTTGTACAGCAAATAACCATTAGGAATAGAGTATGCAATGTGTTAAGTATTGAAACTGTCCTACCAATTTGATTTGAAACTGTCTCATTGCTATTTCTCTCTCAATAAAATTATGGGGAAAAAAAAGAGCAACAGGCTGATCTCCCTAGTGAACACAGATGCAAAAATACTCAATAAAATACCAGCAAACAGAATGCAGCAAATCATCAAAAAGATTATATACCATGACCAAGTGTAATTCAGGGTGGTTTAATATAAGCAAATCAATAAATGTAATACATCATCATAACAGAGCTAAAGATAAAAATCACATAATCATCTCAATAGATGCAGATGCTCAGAGACCACTTGTTTAGTTTCCCTATTGCTGGACAACAGTTGTATGGTGGACTTTCAACTGGTGGTCAATTGTTAGCACCCAGCAGAATTGAACTATCATGGTGATGGGTGTGTGAGGCCCACCTGAGGATTGTTGCCAGCAGAATAAAAGAAAGAACTGCAGAAGACAGGCTGTCAGGGAACTGCTAGTTCTCTTGGGTGATTCTGCTGGAGGATTTTGTTA